GTTTGCCACGGTTTTCGCTCTTTGTCAGGAGAATCCCTTTTTAACGCTTGTTGATCCATTCCCCGCCCCCCCAAATTTTGTTCACAGCCCTTGTGTCTATTCACGAGACCCACAAGTTGAGAGACCGAGGCGCCACTTGGGTCTTCGCAAGGGAAAAGCTTCTCTGCTGGTTTTCTGTGGGCAACAAAAACAAAGAGGGGAAATGGAGCAGGCCTTTTCCAAAGGTGCCTCCAGCCTGTCTGGGGGGACTTTATCCTGGGGGCCTCCAGTCTATCCAGGGGGCCCCCTCTATCCAGCAAAGTCATGAGTCTATCCAGGAGGGCCTCAAGTCCATGCAGGGAGTCCTCAAGTCTAAACAGATTGAGAGCCACTGCTCTAGCGCAAGGCGCTGTCCTGCACAGGGGCCTGAGCACGCAGCCAGCGCCCACCCCCAGGCAGCCACAACAGGACACAACTGGGAACAGGACCAGGTGTTAAACAACAGCACCTTTTTATTATTCACGTGCGTCTATCCCCTGTCCACCCCCACCTCCCCCCATTGAATGAGCATCTCCTGTCACTCCAGGCATCAGCCAGCAAAGTAGGGTTTTGCAGGACCAACACTATTGAAAACTCACCTGAATTTATGCCATCAGCTCCTCCAGGAGAAGCAGGCAGGGGTGGGCTGCTTTGGTCAAATCAGTGGTTCTCAACCTTTTTAGACATTCAAGGCAGGCCTCTGTAGCTACCAGCCCTTCATTTTCACTCATGCTTTGACTACAGAAAAATACTAGAGCAAGTCTTCTGTTGCAAAAAACTCAAACATGATGGATCCCTATTTGAAATCTCTGGGTTTGCCTTGTAAATCGTGTTCACGCATCCAACAGTGCTAACACTGTGTGGTACCCTGGCTGAGAATCACTGAGTTAGAGTAACTTTGCCTTAGCTGGTATCTGGGCACCACCAGCACTTCGGACAGGGCAGGGAGATAGATGAGCCTGACTAGATCCCACAGTGGGCCATGGAGTGGTTTGGCTGCTGGTTTCACACATAGCCTGCTCCCCTCCCTGCTTTTCCTCTCCCTCAGGGGGAACAAGAGAAAAGGCAAAGGCAGACTGTGAAGCATCAGAGGCAGTAAGGGAAGACAAGGGGACTCACTCTGCTCTCCCAACAGTGCAGGATCTCCAGGAGCAGGAGTCATTCCTGCCTCCCTAGGAAGAGGTTGGAAATTACATGGTGCTTGCCTGTTCATGCCAGTTGTAGTTATTGTGCAGACCTAGTTCTGCCTTCCTCTGAGGGAGGCTGGGGTACGGGAACACACATTCTGCACTGGAATTTCACTGCCAGGGTAGCAGGGATGCCAGAAACCCCAAGCATTGGCCTGGGGCAGAGTGGTGGCAGGGCATTTGCTGTTTGCAGGCAAGCTTGTGTAGTTCTGCTGCTGTCCACATCTTATTCTCTACAGCCCGTCAACATGCTCAGCCATCTGTCTCCATCCCTTTAAATAAAACCAAAGACAAGAGCAAAGGGCTTCCCCTACCCCCCTCCAGCTGTGTGTTCAGCTTGATAATGCTTTTGTCCAGTAAAGATCACTAGATTTGGGGTGATGTGTGCCCTATGTCCACTTTCACTCCAAATTTCCTGTGTTACAGCTGGGCCAACACAACACAGGGATGAGAACACATTTACTGTAGTGTGTAACCCCATCCATTTCTCTGGAGATTTCTTGAACGTTCATTTCAGTAGGCTCTACTCTTCCCATTTTCACTGCCATCAAAGAGATACTTCTTCCTGTATCATATCACCTGCTCTTCAAAGCTTCTACTATTTCTAAACCAGTCCCGCTCTATTCAATTCCATGTCTCACTGCCAACCTGCATGTGAGCTGCCCAAACTGAACACATCTTTCCTCCCAAACCCTCCCCACAACATCCTGCTGGCTACTGTTAACCCCTGCCATTACCTATCAACTCCACCTTCTCCACCTGCCCTACCCATCTAATCAAAGTCCCAAGATGTTCCTCCAAGTCTTCCTTTTACAATGGCTAAAACTTCTATCCAGTCCTGCTCAAGATCTTCCAGGTTGTAAACTTCTACCTTTCTTGCAAGCCCTTCAAGAACATTCAGATGCTGCTGTATGACCATCTTCCTGACCAGGTCATCCCTCAGTTCCTCCAGGGTTTCAAATGCAAGATTAGCTTTGAGGCCATTCACATCTTGGTTCCTCCCTCATTAACCACTGTCTGTGTTATCCTTTAGCTACTGTAAATTACAGCCAAACATGCTACCCATCTCTTGTTTGTCTTACTCCCACAACCTTCCACATGCTTTTTACCCCTGCCCCCCACCCCCATCTCTTTCCTCTTATGCTCAGAATACCCAGCCAAAACAAACTCCTCTAATGAAAATTTCAGTTCCCTCTGCCACAACAACTGCAACACAGGAACAGCTGTAAATCTCCATTGTGCCCGTCTATATGCAAAAATTGCATTAACCTCAGACGTGCACTGTCAATCAGCACAAAGTGGCTAAGAGCACTTAAGCTTCATTCCTAAATGCTGAGGCACAGATGCTCCTCTGGCTATTAAATTCCTAGTCTGATCAGGATGCACCATCACCTTGGTCTAAGCAGGTCCTGAATTAAAACAATACAATCCTCTCCCTACAACACTAAATCTACTTCTTTTTTTTAAAAAGTGAGGCTACTTTATTCCCAGAGGTTTGGGATTATGACAGCTGTCCAAAAATTGAACCTACCCATCCTCATCTGATTGTTTTAGAAAAGAACTGCCCTTATACTACCTTCATTCTGGTGACTTCATGATTTGGATATAGGACATCACAGACATTTAACAGACTGTGCTGAGGACAGTGGGAGGGTACAAGTAGTCATCCTTTGCACAGTGGACAGCCACAGCCTTTCAAAAAGCACTCAGTGCACTTAAGACAGTGATGCTAGACTTCAGGAATAAGGAGGGAGAATTGGGCAGGGCTATCTATGGCCCTTTTCCATACTTGCCAGAGAACAAGTATCTGCATGAATGAGTGGAATGGGGTGGGATTAGGACTGGCATGTTGCACATTTCAAAAGTGTCACAGCTGCTAGCAATATTGTAGCTACCTAAGACAGGGAGCCACAGTGGTTTTCCACTGAAAAGATGCCTTTCTTTGTATCACGCCACTGATAATCTAGTTTAAGAGCAAGACTAGCATTCTAGCACAATTTCTATGCCCCTTCAAGCCACAAGGCACACTAATTCCAGGTCTCAAGGAAAGGAGAGAGATTGTTCTGTTGGATTGAATATTCCGTTTAATTTCTGCATTGCCTTTATAGCGCAATTAAAGCAATCTTTAAAATTCACTTCTTATTACAAATGTTTGTCGAGTCTCTTTTTCCCCAGAAACATTTTTCCTGCCTTGCACATACACTCAAACGCACTATAAAAATTCATTCATAACAAAGGAAGGGCAGTCATCATTCATGTAAACATCTTTCTTTAGAGTTATCCATTATTTTAAAGGTCATAAATAAACCTACAGTTTTTCAATAAGGCTCATAGTTCTAGTACAAATGTCATAAAACACCTATCAAGTACTTTATACAAGTTAAATATCTCTGGGGTTAACTTTTAAATAGATGTTTACCCCAACTGCAGATTCTTTAGCACTTAGTTCTTCAGAACCGAGGAATTCTCTGTTCTGTAGGTTAATTACTCTTGACAGAGAATTTTAGTCTAAGTTTTAATTCACCCATTAATTCTCAACATAATTAATTTCACTAGGAAGTTTTAGAGGAGATTTATAGAAGGCAGAGGCTGGTGTGTTCATACAATAGATATCACATAGGGACAGCTAAAACTGGCTTTGATATTAAAATAATTTGTGACAGCTATGTGCAATGCTGCATGTTTCTTCTCTCAACAGCCAGTAAGATTATTTGCTATGATAAGCAAAATTTACTGCATCTCCACATTTTTTAAAGTTTCATCTACTTGTAGTCTGTTATTCTTACTTCTTACAAAAAGACACCCTTGGAAATTTGGCTTAAATCACATGGGAACTAGTCTTTTTTTAAATATTCACTCTACCATGAAAATATTTCGTACAAACATCAAGTTACATATAAACATGTTAAAACTTAGGAAAAGGGTTTCCCCACACTTATGGTTTTATGGCTTGAACATTTCATTGCTTTAAATTTGTGTACATAGTTCTTTTAAAAAAAAAATACAAGAAAGAAATGTCTGTATTTTAAACTCAAATATACTTAAAATTAAATTAGAAGAGAGAAGTAGGTCAGTGTCAGCCTACTGAAGAAAGAAGAGAGCCAGGAGGAGGATCTATTCAATAGATCGAGCTTAGCATTCAAAACCTTTGATCTGTGACAGGTGAACATGCAATCAATCTTGCAAAAATTAACTTGTTCAAAATCCAATTTAGGAGCATTACTTCCATCCAACACATGGTTCTGATGCCATTAGTTCACAAAGAAAACGGACCAAGAAACACTCCCACTGGCGTAACTGCAACCATGCAGGTCCTCTATCACGACAGATAAAGCTAGTCCTGACATTTCACACTCTCTATACAGATATTCTGAGCACATTCATGATAATGCAGTAGAAAAAACAGTTTTTAGTACAGGCAGAAGGTAGGTCACTGTGGCACCATTTATTGGTACAGTATTTCAAACTGGGAAACAGCAATTTTTCTTTATGTCATTGTGCTTTTAAAGAACAATTCTAATCGGTGCCTTTGGAAGAAGCCTCCACAAGTGGGAACGTACATTTCACCCAAGAACAAGTTGCAGTAGCACAAATACATGCTGCTGCTAATCATCCCCATTCACACCTCTGTATGTTTGCTCTGGTGTGGGGCAAATTGCCACGGGTGGGGTAGGGGAGGCTGAGGCCAGCACCTGGGCTGGCCCCAGCAACCTTACCTGGGATCCTGCCAGGACTGCAGCAGCAGTGATCCAGGTGCTTGGAGCCTGACCAGCAGCTGGAGCATGTCTCTTGCTGGCCAGGCTCCATCTTCTGGCAGTGCATGCTGCAACCATGTGTGCCACCCTGCCTTTATTTATTTAAATATTTAAGATACCAGGATTTCCTGGTATCTAATTTTGCTACCACACTGCAAATATGAAGTGCAGGGAACAGATCCACGTGTGCTGCATGTATTTTGTGGCACCTCAAAAAGTCTTTGAGGCACCACAAACTGTAAGTTCCCACTTATGTGACTGTGGGCCATGTCCCCATACAAGCAGAGACCTTTTGGACACATCTGTCCAAAGGAGTATGAAAATTTGTTTTAGGGAATCCTGTACCACTATGGCAACCACAAATAAGACGTCTCCAAATAGACATCTAGTCAGGCAAAAATGGCAAAGAATTGTAAGCTCTTTAGGACAGTCACTGTTTCTTTTTGCATTTATAATATGGCTCTGAGCCACAATCTTGGCGTGGTATCTTTGGGTTCTACTGAAATACAAATGACATCCATATAAGTATCAGGGCAATGCAAACACACTACATGAATCAGTCTTATTCCAAAGTCTTAAAGCAGGGAAGCCACATTTTCCATTATTCAGCGATTGCTAACAATAAACTATAGGAATGCTAACTTTGTCCCCAAAATACATGCTGGAAGTTGACAATTCCTCTTCCAGCCCGGCTGAGTTTTCTTGTTTTCACGAGAGCAAAGCATTAGAATGGTGTCTCTGACAGTTTTTTGGGGGATTCTGCCAAGTGTTCAACATTAGCTACCCTTCAGGTTTTAGCTGTTTAAGAATTAAAAGCTCTATCTATACCCTCCAAAAAAATGAGATCATCATGAAGGTAATCACTACAATTATAATCAGTTCAAAGCAGAGTCCAAGGTGAACTACAATCAGAATCAGGGAAAGCCAAAACGAAGTAGAGAATACGCATGTAGTCAAATCTTTCCACCCTCCACTCATTTTAACTAGTCACTGACAAAAACCATAGCTTTTATGTGTGTCTATTTTGATTTTCTATTTTCAAATTAGCTATATAGTTTCATGCATCTATTCCCTTATGGATCGCTCTGCATATTTTTGCAAGGCACAAAAGGGAAGAGAGAACTGGTGCAGGTCTCTTAAAAGCCTGACAGCTCGTTACCCAGAGCTCTTTTTCTTTTTTCTAAATCTGGAAGCCCTGAAAATTAAGCTACAAGTTCTAGACTGGGACAGGGAATTAAATGGACACTAACTATGTACTTTGGCTCAAGAACCCTTTATTCTTCCAAAAAAGCCATGAAGGCAAATGAAAAACCATCACCAGGTTCTCTCACCACCAAGGTATTCACTCAACCCAGCAATTTCCACCCCACTGAGAAACCTCTGAAGAAATTAAAAGGATCAATTCCTGACTCAAACCAGAGATGCTGCTGTTGTGAGAGATCCAGAGAAGGATTATCATGAGGCTCAAGAGATTCTAAGGGAGCAGAGGGAAGTAACAGCACAGTAGAGACACATTCAATATTCATCATGCCACAGTCATAATTTCAGGCTTCCATAAACTCAAATCAACATAAGAATCAGCTTCCTTACCACTGAAAGGAACAGCTTTTTAAAAGCAATAAGAACACAACTGACATCCTGAGGATTTAACCCTGTCCGTAATGTGCAAAAGAACCCCTCTCATATATTTGCCTTAGAAAACCAGAAAAGGGGTAGGTAACTTTCAGGGACCATAGTCTATGGTTAACACCAGAAGCAGGGATCAACGTTAAAGTGGAGAGAGCATTTTATACAAGATTTTCAAGGGAGAGAGAGTTATCTGATTATCTAAAATAAGTCATATTAGTTTACTACCCATTCACAGCAGTGTTGGCCCAGATCATTTTTATTTCCCAATGAAACACAAGCCTAGTTCTTCAGATTTTATGGTCATGGAAGAAAAATCCATGAGTCACAGAATTAGCTACTATCATTCAAGAAAAAGCATGCTTCTATAAAGCAGCAGTTGCAAGACTGTGATGCTCTTAAATGGCTATCTGTGGGCATGCAGGAATAGAACTCAAGCATTCCTATTTCCTTTCAAGACTGATCTGCTGAAGTTGGGCAGCCTTTGATAACTCCCTACCATGTGCAAGGATCAGATTTGCCCCTCAGCATGCTGCACTGAGTCAGAAATTTCATCTGTATAGGCCACCTGCCCTGTATACAAAGAGAGGAAGAGATGTGGCTAGAGTGTCCATAGTGAGGAGATGGGTGTTGAGAAAGTCCACGTTCATATCTGTGCTGGAAGAGTGCCATGGAGCCCTGGGAGCCCATACCTCATTTCTCCTCCAGCACACATACACAAAAAAATAGCTTCTGTGCAAGCCCTGAAAAGACTTTGTATTCAGCTGCAGGAATCAGAAAGAGCCCCAAATAAAAATAAAAAAAGATGGCCTTATGTGAATTCCATAAATTTTGTATGTACAAATAGCCAGGGATTCTCAGACAGCAAAGAAGAACATCATCATTTTCCCATCTCTTTGGTCCATCCCAGTGCATTTTCCAATACCATCCAGTTCCATACAGCCAGAAGTTTCCTCCTCTCCTTTGAAGTGGACACCTCCAACACTTAAAGCAACAGATCAAATATGCTACTGTTGCAGTTGAAATTAAGGTCAAATTTCCCCACAATTTTGTATGTTACATATATACAAGCACTTAATAAACTACTATTTAAAAGTAAGTGTACTACAATTGCTTTTCCTAAGCTACCTAAAAAACCCAAAACAGAATGTCAGAGCAGGATTGCAGACCCAACAAGGGCCTGATTATCTAGACTGAAATGGCACCCTCTTATTTTTTCCCCACAACATTAGCTAAGACTCACAAAATGATTGAAACACTAGTGTTTCTTTTTTCTCTTTTTTAAATTTACACATGAATGCTCAAAAGTACCTATCATTTGCTGAACTAGGTCCATAAAATTAAGTCCGTGCTTTCTAAACTACTGACCAGGAACAACTGATGTTTTTGACTTCCTGGTTTCAGTTTTTCAATACAACTGTTTTGCACCTGCTGGTGGAATCTTAGTTTGTTACCAACTTCTACATTCATTTCCTAGGAACAAAACCTGTGTAGCAGTGGTCACCACCAGTAGATCTCAGAGCCTCTTGTGGTAGATCTTAGAGCCTCTTGGAGTCGATTCGAGGCTAGGGTGGGGGAGTGAGTGCCCGCATGCATGCACACACGTGCCCCAGCCCAGCAGGTCTGTCCGTGGGGGAGGGAAGGGGTGGGGGACAGATTGAGGCCCCTGTGGTGAGGGACAGTGCTGCAAAGGCAGGAGCAGGGTAAGCTGAGTGTGGCCCCGGCCAAGTGGGACATACCTGCTGGGGAGGCTCGCCCCCACATAATTTTTTTCTCCCTTGGCCTCAATCTGCCCCAACCCCACTTCTCTCCCCAGATTTACCTGCTAGGGGTTGCTTTTAAATGACAAAGGTGATGCTCTACTTAAAGTTGGAGACTGCTGCTGTATAGGCTATATTCTCTACTCATGTAAAACCTGCAGAGAATGGACCTACATCCTAACCTATTATTACAGTCTACCCTCAGATACACACACTTCCTCTCCTTTTGAAGTCATTAGGAGAAGTGCATTTGAAGTTAGAATTCTGCCTTAATGAGTCATTCAGGTAAACAAGACACTAAAAAAGAAACCCTTAGGTGCTACCTTGGCAAATATTCTTTTCCTTCCTGAACATATATCAATAATAGCTTCTTAAAAGTGAAACCACTTTCTCCTCTTTGCACATCTTCCTGCAAATTATCTTTGTGTGTGATAATCATAAATAAGATATACTAGCCCCAGAGGCCAGACAATTACTCCTTTTGGACTCGTTACTAAAACTATTTATATAGAGAGCCAGAGAGACCAACACACAGCACTCTCACATACACACACACACACACACACACACACACACACACACACACACACACACACACACAAATCTTTCTCTCCATAAGAAAGGCTTTCTCCTGCAAAAGAGGAAGTGTAGAAAGAATGAAGTTCAGACAAGAGGAAAAGGGAGTTAAAAACCCAACCTCCAATACACTAATAAACAAACTGCTCTATTGCAAGATTCAGATCAAAAGGTTTAAAAAGGCAAATTATGCTACTATTAGAGAATATCAAAATGTTACCATTTCCATCACAAATGGCATGTATGCAAAATACAATTGCACAATAATGCCTAGGTTGCAGATATAGCAACACTGAAGTCAGCCGACTAAAAGTAAATGATGTATCCTTTTAAATTTTCTGTCTGATCTTTTGGCATCCTTGCAAATGGTGCAAAAGCATAAGCTACTGAATATCACACCTTGTATAGACTATTAAGTGATTCCTTCAGGTAAGACTGCTGCAACGCTAGCTAATTTTAAATCTGCTATGATTAACACAGTCAAATCTAGTTAGTATGCCAAAAAAAAAAAAAAAAAAAAAAAAGATAATCTTCTCTAACACAGAATGAGAGGTTATGATGCAACAACATGAACAATCCCTGGTTGTCCAGTTTTCAGTACAAAGGTAGTGCATAGATCCAAGTTTGTTTCAGTTTGCTGAACTGAGAATTAGCTTGCATTTCACTTCTGCTGAGCATCCTGGAAGGCTTTCAGTTCCTCCTGGTACCACTCTGGTGCTTCTGGCCCATTTTGCCCCGTGGGATTGTGATCATATCCATAAGCCACTGTTAATTCTTCATCTTTCTCCACAGCTCTGGTGGTACGGATACATTTGATTGGCCCAAAACGAGGATGAACAAACCTAAACAATGAGGAATATGCAGGTTAGCGTTTTGGATTTACCCAAAGATTCACTCAGAGCCTTGAGCGTGCTCTTGCTCTGGTGTTTAGAAGCAACTGCAGCGAGCTTAAATAATCACTCTGTTGTAAGGCTTAAAAACAACCTAAAAACCCCAGTTGGTTCTTTTCTAAAGCCACTTTTGGAAAGCTCTATGACTTAACTATTCTCACATTCCTTGTAAGATGCTTACGTTCGCAAAAGACTTAGCCACTATGACTTGTGTGGTGTACAACGCACCATATAGTATGTGTCTTAGGATCATAGGAAAAATAGGGCTGGAAGGGACCTCACAAAGGTCATCTAGTCTAGTCCCCTGCACAAGGCAGGATCATCTTCAACTAAACCAGCCAAATGTCTGTCTAACCTGCTTCTGAAAGTTTCCAAGCATGGAAAATCAACAACTTCTCTAGGGGCAAGTCTACACGTGCCATTAGGGGGCAACAATAAATGGAGGAGCTTACAGCTCTGCAGTTTATTGCTCCCAGGGTGCTCATCTGCATGTGTGGCTGGATGCAGCACATTGAGCCAAGTTGCAGCAGCCCCAGCTGCGAGGGGGGGTGGGGGGCAGGTGGTCAGGGTGTCAGCCTGCCAGCCCAGGGCTGCTCCGACTTGACTCAATGTGCTGCAGAGGGGCTGGCTAGGGCACAAGGCTGCTCCAGTGCAGGGCTAGCTGGCAGGTAACCCCAGCACTGAAGCACCCTTGTGCCCCAGCCAGCTGGTCAGTGTCTACATGTGTGCTGCTGCGCACAAAAAGACTTGTATTTACATGTACTACCCTGCTGCAAAATGTATTTATTATATGTGCCCTAATAAGGCTACATGTATAAATGCTGAAATGTTTACTGTGCAGTTAATTAGTCAACTGCACAATACACATCTTGTGTAGATATGTCCTATTCTAATGCCTGACTACTCTTAGTCCAAAAATTCCTTCTAATCTCCAGCCAGCCTAAATTTCCCCTGCTGCAGCTTGAGGCCATTGCTCCTAGTCTTGTCCCCTACAGCCACAGGGCAAAGCCCATCTCTATTCTCTCTATAAACACCATTCAGATGTTATTAAATCCCCTCTCAGTCTTTTTGCCAGGCTAAAAAACCCTCATTCTTTCAGTCTCTCTCATAAATCTTCCCTCCCACGCCCCTAATCATTTTGTTGCCCCATGCTGAATGCTGTCCAAACTGTCCATATCTTTCTTGACATATGAGGCCCAAAACTGGACACAGTACTCCAAGTGATGCCTCAGCAGTGCTGAATATAGAGGAAGAGTCACCTCCCTTGATTTGCAAGTGACATATTGAAGATGCTATCTGATGGGGCAGGGGGAAAAAAAGAAACCTATCTAGGGCAGGTTATTTACTAAGGGTTTAATAAAGGCACATTTCTACATATCTCCCCTAGGGACTTGCTCTAAATGAGGCAATTTTATTTACAAGGATATAGAATATCACTTAATTATATATATCTTATACTGTCATTTGAAAATATGTATAGATTTACACACACTTGTCAAATTGCTTTCTAGTGCTCCTCAGCAACTACAGATCTATAAAATGCTTTTTTCTTTTTTTGAGGAAGCTCAGTCTCAGTAAGCAAAGTAGAAATGTGAACTTGAATACATAACTCTTGATCTATTCTACATGGTACTTTTCATCCACTCATCTCAGACTCTGCTGTTGCATTGTAGAATGTTGCACTGGCATCACCACTGCAGCATTTGGTTTTACTTACGGGTCATAAACGCAGTTAGGAGTGAAAGAGTGATTGGCTTTGTGACCCAGCGAGGCACAATACTTGGCAGGATGGTTGTAGGGCTCTGGCACATCTATGACTGTTTCATCATCTAGGGATATTGTGTTTCCATTGAGGGCCCAGTCTCTGCTGTCCACCTAATTTGAAAGGCAAAAAAATCCAGTGCGTGTGTGATGGGGTCAGGTTTTTGTTTTTAAAAGTTCCAGCAAGAACATTCAGATAAATATGTTAAGAAAAGTCTTACTCATAGTAGGTATTTAAAAACAACCCATTGTAATTTGGTTCTTAAAATTTTTCTGAGAAGTAATTATCTTTTCCTTCAATTTCTTATTAAACTCTACAGTTGGGAAGGTGGTGGGTAGAAATTGTACTATAAAAATACTAGTTCAAAAGGAGCAATGAAAATTAAGACTGACTTTTTTTCTCTCCCCTTTACCTCCTGGTGTGTAATTCGCACTCCATTGTAAAAGGACATAACTGTGCTAGCTTCTGCTGCTATTTTAGAAAACAGTCCTTCCCCAGCACTGGAAATGAGAGACACATCAACATACACCCTGAAAAATTAAAAAGAAAGAGGGAAAAAAAAAGAAAGGTACATTTTTGTCACAGTCACCACAGTACTATTGCTACAGCTACTGGCGCAGAGTAGCCCCTACACCTTCAAAAAAAATCCTACACCTTCAAAACATACAGAGGCAACCTCCAAAACCTAGTAGCCTATATAGAGGAATTAAAGAAACAGAATAACGTTATTTTAAGAAATAGGACTCCAAGTCACCTAATCATAGTGCTCTGATAATGTCACTGTGATGGTTAAAACTTCCAGGATGGTTAAAAAGTGCAGAACACCTCACTCCTGTAACCTGTCCCCCTGGTGTCCAACAGGACTAACTAAGATATGTAAGAGTTTGCAGAAGTCAGGCCCTACAAGTATCTTACCAAACACATTTATATATCTATAAATACCAAGACAGGAAGATTCCAATCAGGTCAGCAGACAGCAAAAGTTTTTAAAATGAATGGGATTAAGACAGCAAAGTCACAAGATGTTCTGTCTACTGTACACAAACAATACAAAAATGTAAAGTGAATGACTGATTTATATACTATCATACTCTGTGCAGTATAGAGAAATGTGGCATGTCAATACTAGAGGCTTAACATGAGAATGCTCCACATTCCCTGAGACTTCCTATTTTATTCCTGGGAACAAACCTCTTTGAGTATGGGGAGCAGAATATCCCAATGCATGCCACCATACTTAGCACTGACATCAGCCACAGTTTATTTCTGTATTTAGAAAAGACGGACACTGTATTTGTGCCTGATCCTCCAAAAGATTAAGCACACTGCAACTTGCAGGACTGGTCCCTCACTTGCAGGCTAGATCCAGGGGGAAGGCGGTACATCCGCACCCTTTTCTGCTGCAGCTGCTGTTATGCCCAGCTGACTTGGGTACATGAGGTGCCTCAGAGTTACCCCAGAGGCTGAAGGGAGCAGCTGTGTGGCGTGCTAGACTCAGCCAGGAGCAGCAGTAGTGGCATTCAGGTTCTTCCTTGTGGCGCCTGCTCCTGGTCAGTGCAGGACATAGTGGGAGGTGGGCAGGGAGCACACACTAGGAGGAGGAGGAACCTGTGCACCACTGCCAGTCCCTGACCCAATGTGGCACTGCACACAGCTGCTACTCATAGCCCCTGCATGGAGAGGGCAGGAATGATTCTAGGGGTCTCCTGATGAGCAGGTCAGCCAGGGACAGTGGCAATAGTAGGCAAGCCCCCCCATTTCATGCACCTACTCCCTGCCTTGCTACCTGATGATATGGGATCTCCAGCTACGCTTTGTCCCATGGTCTGAGGGGGAGTGTGCTGCACCCCCTTTCAGGAAATCCTAGATCCACCCATGTCCACTAAAGTACAATTGTATTGTTTAAAACTCCAAGAAAACTTCAATTAAGTTTATGCTCCATATTATTTACTCATCTGATATATTTGTTGCTCTCCCCCTCCCCAAAAGGCTGAAGATGGCAGAAAATATTCAAGGGAAAAGCTCAAACTACATCATCTTGCAATTACCGCTATCCTATGAGCCTGGGTTTGCAGGTGGAGTTCCTAAATACATAGAATTTCAAACTTAAGTATGGAGAATGAACAGTCTACCTCTCTGACTCGTAAGGATCAGGAAGAAGTGCATTTGTAGAAATGCATGTTGAAGTAGATTTATCAAAATTGTATACCGGACCTAAAAAAGAGATCAAACATAGAAATTCAATTTAGGGACAATATTAAATGTATGCATCTCTTATTATAGCAACATGAAATCAAGACATTCAAAGGCCAATTACATTTTAACAAGAAACAAAAAAGAAAACAAATCAAACAGATACATGCACATATTGGAAGGATTTCACGTAGAACTGCAGTGACCAAAAAAGGAAGCCAGCAAACCAAAGCCACAGACAGTTCTCAACCTCTTACTCTTTGTATTTCTCTTCCCATACTACTAAAATAGCATGCTAGAAACATACAAAACCTTATTTTTATGAGATAAAGGTATTTTTTATTATAAAACCTAGAGTAAAATATTTTTCCCCAGTGACCCAGGTTATAGGTGTCCAACTTAAAGTACACCCTAAGTGTCCTTACTTTATCATGAGCCCAGTGATTGCTCTTTCAACAGTCTAATAATGGATACACAACATTACCAGGTCACATTTGAAAATCTTGACCTAGTTTAACAATTATTGTTTATCACAAGCATATACTCTTATTTCCAAATCAGAAGTTAAATAAATAAAGAGAAAAATATAAAAAATAATAATAAACTAGACTTCTTGCATTACTGTTTTCCCTTCTGTTATTAAACCTTTTAATAGGATAGCTTTATGTAAATTATATTCTTACATACTTGTCTAATCAACCATCTGAGGCTTATTTTGGGGCAAAATTAAGATGCAGGTGGAAAAGACAGGGGAAAAAGCTGAATACACGAAAGTTTGATATAAAGCTGTTGTCTATGGTAACCAAGTTCTAAAAATGGATCTGCTCTGAGTGAAGCCAGATTTATACAAAGTGTAGTTGTATCCTATTTACAAAGCACAAATTGTACCCTCTCAGAGGGTTCTTCTTAAGTTTAATTTTGCTTTGCTGTCACATCTACCAGATTCAAAAACAAAAGGTTACGGATGTGGGGAAAATGGGCCAGAGCACATTTACATTCTTATCTACACATGGACAAAGCATATAATGGTATCTTTTGGACATGAGTAACACATCTAAACTATCCTAATGCTGCATTAGTGGTCCTGCTTTGTCCACAACTGAAAAAAAAAGCTGTAAGCAAATTAAAAAGCCAAAAGTGCCTGCCAAATTTGCCACAGCCATACCCCTTATGTAACCATGCTCCTCAGTTAAGAGCAGGTGCAAGATATTATAAATCTAATGCTTAGCATTTTACACCCACTTTGAACTAGTGTAAACGATTACACAACTTGCAGGATACTGGTGATTCAGATTCTTACATGCTAAAAGACAAACAGTCCCTTCATTAATGCTGATAACCATGTCTCTTGCTTCCTAGTAACACATCCAACTCAATGGTACAACTGATGGTAATACACTTAGGATTGAATCATGACCACATCCCCTCCTTGTTTCTGAGGTTCTATAACATGTCAAAGTTTTTTGTAAGTTGATTTGGCAGTGGTGGGAGTGGGGGTAGGAGTGTGCGCTGATCTTCAGCTGGCAGCAGGGTGAATGTATGCATGTGTGTGCACGCACACGAACAGTTTCAGAGTCAATATAGCAAGTGTGTGGGAGAAAAGAGACTCCCAGAGCTTTCTTTAGTTTTCCTCTCCCACAGCATATCTTTATTTTTTACAGCAACAGAATACCGAACACACGCATTTCATGAATGTACTTCTGACCTAGCTCATAATAATCCCTCGAACAGAAAGGTTTATAAACCAAGTGTTCCCTCTAGTTACTTATTCCTCCTCCTCAGTTATATTCCAGGAGGCTCAGAGGGGACGTATTCAGAACAGATGAAAAACTTATTAGCACATGGAGACTGGGGTGAAGAAACAGGCTGACAGGCACAGGCCAAAGCACTCGTTAAATTAGAATATGAGCTTGCGTTAGCTGAACTTACTGCCTGGTACCAGCTCAAAGTATGGTTTCCCCTCCTCTACAGATGTCAGGGTTGCCAGTTTTGCTTCTATCATTTCTCCATCTATGAACCTTCCGTAACATGCAGTCTTCCTATCAGGATACACATAGGCTATTTTTTCTCCAGTCATCTCACCATCTTCATTCACTTCTCCTACAAGGCTGCCTCCATCCTGAGGGAGAGAGTACCAAATAAAAATAAATGTTTAAATATATTGTTACAAAATATTGATTAGATATGCATTGAGGAAATGGCTTACATAATTTAATAGGAATATATTCTTTACTGACTGGTTTCTATACTATTTAAAATAAAAAAAAACATTTTTCTGGGAGAAGCGTGGTGTGGAATATGAAAGAACAACAAAGAAAAGGTCATAGGAAGAGACAGACTTAAGATTTAAAAAGAGCCAGAAGATACTGGAGGGATAGTGTTCAAGACAAGGGAGAAAAAAAACAATCAAAACAACAAAGAGTCCCTCAAGTCTCAAATAACACACTTGGAAGTACCACTTCCAGATGCATCAGTGTGAATGTTAAGAAGTGGCAGAAGCATATTTTAACAACCCTTGTAGCAGCAAGACACTGGCCAACCACAGCCCACCCCCCACTTTACTTGTGGTAAGTCAGGGTGTTATGTCTTGTGGTCATGTCAGGGTAGACTGTGTACTTTTGCTAATAGGTTAGACCACTTATTTGTGTAGGATGGTTTGGATAGGAATGATCCTGCCCTATGCAAAGGGTTGGACTAGATGACCTCTGTAGGTCCCTTCCAGTCCAATTTTTCTATGATTCATGGGAAGAAAGAGAAGAGAAACTGACAAAGCAAAAAAACTAGAGAGGGGAAAGGTTAGTTACTTTCTGCCACCAATGCTTCCAAAGTTTCCCAGGAAAAAGACCTCAGAATACTTCACTCTCTCCATCTCTAGTTGCCAGCCTGCAACAAATGAAGCCACCTTCCTTATACCCCCAACCATTTCAGCCTATGCCAGCTGCTGTGACCACATCAGAGCAGCTCTACTTATCAGCTTCCTTACCAAATACCAAACTCAAGGAAATTATGCCACCCAGATTTGCTCCTTCAGTCCTCACAATTACAGCTCATGTAGCCCACTAATGGCAGAGGTAGGGGGGGCGGAGAAAGGGAGAACTTGCTCAGCTTAACCCTTCCTAGCAGCATGAATGCCATGAAGAGAAGCACTGGATTCCAGTTCACCTACGGTACTGTTTGATCATATGTTGACCCAGCAAATAAGTGACTGAACAGACAATTGCAGAATCTGAATTCCTTCATCTATGAATAAGCAGGACTAATGAGTGTTACTATCAACTGTACACAGGATCACAGGACGTGGACTGGAAAAATGAACTAAAAGAGAAAGGCTGCTTTGTGGCGTCAGGGTAGAGTACCTTCCTGTTGATCCAAACATGGAGCCTCAGTTTAAGTTTGACCACCTGAAAGCTACATCATCATTTATCTTAATAATTTTCATCCCTTATTTTAAAAAACTTTGATTGTTTTAGGAAAGTAATAGATAATTCTGTTGCCAACTAATTTAAATAAAGAACAAGCTTATGAATGAGAGATGTGCAGGGGAAAGGAAGGGAAGGTCCATAAGTCAACTACAATGAAAGGTCTACAATTTAGTCATTGTTCTTTACACACACAGCACATCAGCATAAGGTTTTTTGATGCTTGATTGACATTTATGTCAGTGGAATGACTCAGATGAGATCAAGTTATGTAAGGATTGCAGGGTTTGGACTCACACCAACATGCGAGCCCTAACAACTTAATGCACTTACTTCAAGCAAATAATAGGAAGGGCTATCATCATCATACTGATGTTTTAAATGAAGAAAGTCAGCTTCCCCAGTGTATGCAAAACAGCCGTGGGACCAGGTTAACCTGGAATATAGTGCTTTAGACTAGGATTATAATTCTAACCCACCTGCATGTTGCCCTCAGACGGGGTTGCAAGATAGCACAATACTGCTCAACTGCAATAATAAAAGATTATTTCTAAGTCTGTTACTCAATACAACAATAGTTTTAGATGGCGGGGGTGAGGGGGGAGGCAACCCAAGGCATGCATGCCACAAGTGGCATGAGAAGCCTCTATGTGTGGCATGCAGCAGATTGAGGAGGGAGCCTGCAGCACAGCAGACAATAGGACAGGAAGTAGAGCACAAAATTGGGCAGGGAGCAGAGAAAAGAGGAGCAGGTCAGGCACTGGAAGGGGATCAGAGTGGCACATGGGGAAGGTGCAGGGCTAATTTGTGGCATGCTAGCCTAAAAGGTTGGCCCCAAGAGTTTTAAAATATAGGCAACAATGCTAAAATTTTAGCTACTGCTGTCCAGTGAGCAAGTAAATGGACAGCAGTAACCAAAACCCATGGTCACAGTGTCTGAAGCAACAGCAGTAACCAAAACATATACATATGCGATAGAGAAGGATCCTGCCTCCTGTCAAGAGAAGATGCAAACTATTGGGCAGATAATTGTACACACAATTCTACCACATCAACAGTGCCCTTTTTTTTTTTAAACCTAGATTTGTTAAGAGCACTTGGTGGCATTCTACCAATGCCTCATCCTTGATCACATCAGGCCTTTAAAGCCAGAGCATTTTCAGGCAAAGCTTCCATGGACAAGATAAGGAGGGCTGAATAGGGGTATTCATGAACAGAACAGGACTACAACTACCCGATACAGTGTGGCACATTTTTAAATGATACATTTAAAAATATTCTTTAGACAAAGACTTTGAAAGTAACATCCCAACAGAGAGAACACCTCCCCCCACACTACTTGCTACTTTCTAGAAAAAGATACTTGGCTTTCCCCCCATTGGAATAAAGCATGTTCCTACGATAAATCCGATTGCTAGACTAAGCCTATGAAGCCAGTTTAAGCAAAATGCCCTGCAGCAGCAGCTCAAAAAATATTCTTTTCTGAGCCACAAGGCAGTACCAGGCTGCAGGAGATACAGGGGTACAACCACAAAGCAGTTGAGATCTCCCAAAAGCTCTGGGGATTTGAGTGTGAGCCTTGCTCCGTGCTTGTGCCAAAAGCTGTTGCAAGCAACCCACCTGTAAATGGGGACCCTGATCATTTGGTCTGAGAAGCCAGAGGCAGCTGACTGCGATGCCACCTCATCACTCTACACTGGCCTGGTGAGTCACTGGGCTCAGGTGGACCTTTGCCAGAGTTTCTGTGCTCTTGCTCTGCAGCAGGCATTGTGGATCTCTGAAGTGGAAAATTCTTTGTCCCCATCATCTCTAAGATGCCTACAAGCTTGGCTGAGCCAAGTTCCCTTGCACATAGCAATAACAGACATTTGACAGACACTAAGTCCTGCCCTCCCCATGAACAACGTCACTAGGAGAATTCCACTACTTAGAAGACGCCCATAAAGTTGCACAGGAGACCAAGGTGACAAAGCACATAAGTCTTTTCACCTACAGACTACTACTGTGCTGAAAGTTGAAGAGGTGGCTTTCATGTCTTAAGGATATTTGTTTTCAATGGGAGGGGGAAAACGAACAAACATTTTAGAAAACTGTTCTATGCTCCAGTGAAGTAATAAGCAAGAGAGGAGGCTTACTGGGTAATATATCCAACACACTCCATGTCGAATATTATCTTTGTACTGCCCTTTGAAAATCAGTCGCCCATCGCTGTCATATTCCTGGGCTGGTCCATTTAGTTCTCCATCCACATACGTGCCATGAAGAACTCCTCCATCCTCGTAAGTGTAGATTCCCTGGCCTTGCAGAGCATCATCCACATAATACCCTTCCAGCGTGCTGATGAAAAAGAGAAAGAAAAAGTGCAGTGTTTTCTCTCTAAAGCAGAATTCCTGAGACATGAACAAACACCATCAGTGTAATCAGAGGAAACCTCACTCTCTTGTTATATTATGATCATAGAGTATATGGTTTCAAAACCTTGGCACAGAGACAGGGTTAAAATAAATAAATGCGTCTCCACTGACTTCAAGGTAAATACCCCTCCTCCTCCCAGCACTTATGTTATATTTATAATTCAATTTGATGACAGAAATGTTAAATCAAATCATTCACTTATATTTATATAGTGTTTGAGATCCACACTACACCAGGTTCCCTTTTATTATAGATAGTACAGCAAGTTACAGGAGTGAAATGACTTGGCCAACACCAGAGGCACTTCTTGTCAGGGCAGGCTGCTTTCATGTTCATAGTTTCTGCTTCATAATCTGGTGTTAAGATTTTTAGATCACCTCTCTTCAGTGTCATGCAACTGTGTGCCTTGCTGCCAGCCTAAGGTTTGTCTACATTCAATAATTTAACACTATTCTACACCAGATTCTCCAGAAACTGTCACTCTCCTTTTAGAGATTTCTACTAAAATGGAATGCATTCTTCACAAAGAGCTACTGACATTTAGCTAATGAATGCTGTTTTCACTTCACTTGGTCTTGCAACTCTTTAAGAGTAGCTCTGTTACACCATGCCATATTTTAGTTTTTTTTTTTCTCATGTCTTTTTTTTCTAAGGAAAAAAGTAAGTATTTTTTTTTAAATTGAATATATTCCTCTTTGTAGTGTCACTTTTTTCAGACTAGAACTGATTTATTAGAGGCTGAACTGCTCAGGTTTGCCTCAAGATATTTAATATATTAGCTGATAGCTGCTTAAATGTCCAATTATGCTCTCATTCTATCTTAAGATGAATTATGCAGAAATCTCTGGTAAAAGCCTAGACTGTCTATCTGGGAATAAGAGTACATCTGTTTCACAAGACTCCAGAGATTTACTCAATTGTTGTTGATGTGGCTTTCATCAAAAGTAACTCTTGAGATCTGAAAGTTTCCTTCTTTATTTCTAGATATACTTTTGTCATTTTGCTTGATTTTCTTTGCTTGAAATACTTCTCCTGACACAGTACACTACTACGATGACTATAAATAAGGCATTTCCTATTACACTACTGGGACTTGGGAATCATCTCCACTTGGAAATGGGTCTGTACACTGCTTAAGGAACATGCTCATTAGTACTGTCCACAGGTTTCTCTCTCCTTGGCCTTCTGTTAACCGATGCTTAAAATAGTTTGGCTGCTAGAATAGACTAAGTCAAACTTTTCTATGCCTTGAAGATAATGATGCAGACAAGGCACCAGTTATTAACAACTATGAGCCATTTTCCTATTGTGCATAGTGCCAGTTTTCTTCTCCTTGTTGGCTTACCATAAAAGATTATAGATACTATTTTTCATTGGAGAGAACTTGCAGAAAGCCTACATTTTAAGAATGTACATTCAAGCAAGAGGCCATATTCACTTTGTATCTGCACACAGTCAGCAATAAAAAAATTAAAGCCCAATGCCAGAGACATTACAACTCTATAACTTAAAAAATAGACCTTTTCTCTCTCATTCCCCTTACTTTCTTTACCATCGTTTCTTGAATATAACCTGTACCTTTTCCCCAAAAACCAGGTGGAGAAAACTGGGCTGTGCATTATATGCAAGGAAAAGCTGCATGGGTGCAGAAGCAAGGTGGCAAGACAGGGGTGAAGTGGTGCCAGAATGAACTGCTAGGGATCTAGAAACTACAGTAATTAATGTTGCCACTGCTCCCTCCCTCTGGAACCATGTGCTGGCACTGGGGTCATGTGCTGGATCGGGCCCCACCTGCATGGCTCCCACCCCAGTACAGCTGGATTGGCCCCTGTCAAAGCAAGTGCACAGCCCCCATCCCTGGCACATGGCTCCCAGCACCCAAGTCCCTAACTGTGGCACACATCCCTCTAGGCCCAGAGACTCCAGACCTCAAGTAATACTCGTACTCTAAAGCAAAGATCTTTTTTCCTTCTAGGGGCCCTCCCAAAATAGGATGTGTATTATATTCAGAGGCATATTATATGTGAGAAAAAAGGCAAGTCTTGGGATCTAAGTAATTATCGCTGGCTCTTCTAAAACCCTCAGCCCTTCTATATGTTCATGTTTTTCCATAAAAAAATAAGACTGGAAAGGACCTAGTGAAGGGAGGTGGTGCTGGCCCCTACCCTGGGGATCTTTAAGAAGAGGCTGGATACTTACCTGGCTGGACTCATTTGAGTCCCGTTTTTGTTTTTAGGGGGTTTTTTTTTGTTTTTTTGGGTTGTTCTCCCGCCCTGGCGGGGGGTCGGGCTAGAAGATCTATTAGGTCCCTTCCGACCCTGTAACTATGAAACTATGAATCCCCTTTGCTTTGATGTCAGAGATGGTTTACCTATATCTGTCCAATGTGTTCATCTGCTCTAACCCATTCTTTTATATAAATAAGGAATGGATTAGATGAATACATGTCTACCTATACTTAATATGGTGTGTGTGTGGGGGGGGTATGTTCACACACACACACACACACACACACACACACACACACACACACACACACACAATGTGTGTATAAATAAAATCTAATGAAAGATTCCACATCTTCCCTATAGTTAAAAATTTGTCTCCTCCTCTCCACCTTTAACCTAAATTATTTTCATGCAAAATTAAGCTGATTACTTTTTGCCCTCCCTCAGTGGAAACAGAGAACAAATGTGACAGCTCCCCTCTTTATAAGTCTTTCAGTATGCAAGAAGTTGGTATCCTGGCCCTTTTGTTCTAGAGAACATACAAGTCCATTTCCTTCCACCTGTCTTTAGTAATCATTTCTAAATCTGTTATACTTCTCACTCTCCTCTGGACTTTCCACATCTGTGTGGCACCCAAAACTAGACAAAGGACTCCAGTAAAGGTCTTACCATTACTGAGTTATTTGACTTATTCAATTTATGACTCAATATTAACCCTAGATATTTTTCTGCTAAACTGCAAAGGCAATTATTTCCCCCATCCTTTATTTTCTTTCTATATTTGCGCATTCAATTTCTGCTTTCTAAGTGCAGTACTTAGTATTTGTCTTCATTGAATTTACCTTTCTGGATTTCAGACTTCAATTTAAATCAAAATTATTTCTGAATTTATAATCCTGTCCTTCAAAGTGCTTGCTACTCCCCTCAATGTGATGTCATCCAGAAATTTTCTACACAGTGCTATTTCATCCTCCAAATCATTAATATACTGAGGCCAGGACAGACTTCTGCAAAAATCCACTGAGATACCCTCCCAAATCTGACAGAGGACCAGAGATAACTGCTCCGAGTGCAGTTTTACAGGAAAGTTTCAGGAAATTTGTCTTGCTGCACTTATCTAGATCATATTCCTCTAGTTTGCTTCTGACATTCAAATGCCTTAAAAAACAAACCAAAAAAAATCAAGATTAAAAAAAAACCAAAACACACCTATGGCTTTACTCTCACTTACTACCTTTCTGGCAAAGAATGAAAAAAGATGGATTTGTCAAAAACAAAGTTGTGTTGAACCAAAGTAGTTTTCCCCCCCCATTACTTTATCACCTTTTAGGTAATTTAAAATCAATTGTTTGATAAGTTTTTTTTCCTTGCATCTTTCCAGGTATATGAAGTTAAGCTGAATGGTCGTAGTTCCAGAAGTCCTTCTTTTAGCAAGGCAATTCCTCTGACTTTCCCATTACTGGTAGCTCCGATTAAAAAACCTAACACTGTTCTCAACACAAGCCAGAGTGCCAGTTAGAAAACAACTGTTCTAGCTTTATGGAGAAGAGCAGCTGTAGCGCAATGCTGGCCAAAGCTTTTCAGTTCACAGTAATTATGCTGAGCATTTTGTACAGTGCTCTCAAACAAGTGTTAGCATTAGTAAAAGTACAACACACGGAGGGTATCAGAGTTAACATTTCATTCTTTCTAAAATCATGTGGCCATTTTTGTGGAGGTCTTCTCTCTCTCCTTTTAAAAACAACCCCTACAAAAATTGATAATTTTGATCCAATCTTTCTTGCTTTTCTAAATTTAAAAAGATATTGCATCAGTAAGGAGAAAACAGCAAAGAATGTTATAAAGAGGGGAAAGGTTTTCTTCATTTAAATACTCAATGTCTGAACTGGACCATTTTATACCTCCTCCACTAAAAATGAAAAACAATTATAGTTCCTGTGAACCCTGTCCCCTGTCTGGTATTCCCTATAACTCATTCCTGAACATTAGACCTACAGCAGTTCACTTGTCAACTTTCACTAGCAGGCATGCAAAGGAAATTAACCAGGAAGGAAACGCATCTGGGCTAGGCTGAAATCAGTTAGCTTGTTGTATTAAAGCACCATAGGGCGAGATGTTTTGGGAGCTTTAAGATACTGACTTAAAGAGATGAGCTCTGATAAGTACAGTGAACAGTTTTTAGCAAATAATTTTTTTTAGGAGTCAGAGAACAGTAAAAGCTGTGTAGGGGTGAAATTAAATTTAAAAAAAGTTACAACATTTAAACCAGGAACTTTTTGGGAGAAGCATTTTTCTGTTCGATAATCTAAGTAAGGATGGCCAACTGTAATATCAGCAACTAAAGTGATATTTTCCTGCTCAAGGTACTTTAATTAAAGTTCAAATCTTTGTTTATTTAGGCTTTTGCTAGCTCCTGAAGTTACAAAGTAGCCCATTATTTGATTTAAAAGTGCAGGGTTGACAATTCACAAGAAAATATAAGAAGGGACAGCATAGTGTGGCAATCTTAAGTTTTCTAGTACAGCACCGTCTTCACCCTGGTCTGCAAGAATGGAGCAGTTTCTAGAAGAAAGACAGCAAGTTAATTCCCATCTCTCTGTACACTTTAATGTCTCTGCTGAGACTGCCAACAAGTGTGCAGGTATTGTATGTACATGGGTCCACTGAATCTTCATCTGTCAAATAACCCATTTTACAGAGGTTAGCTTTTGATTAAACAAGTTTTGGGTCTCTCAATAGGATTTTCTATGATTTGATATAGCCAACTAATGGCTAGCAACAGGTGGAAAGGTTCTTCTGGAAGCATGGAGATCCAAGCAATCAATTTCTAAGTTCCCCTTTGTGCACCAAATGTAAAGCCAAAGGAGTGTGGTCTTCCCCAATCAGCTCCAGTGCCCCCGCTGCTGCTGCTCAGAACTTTGCCAACCAGAAGGAGAGTGGAGTTAACAAGACTGTCAATTTGACTGCTGCTATTCATAGGACTGCAGGCAGCTGCAAAACAATCCAGAATCGTGTCATTTATGCATCTGCTGTGCCTTCTGAAGTAATCTGAGCAACAGCAGAGAGAAATACTGGAGCTATTATGAGGAAACAGAAATAAATAAATTGATGTTAGGAGGGTCAGGAACGGAAACCTGCAGGTGAGGAAGCTGGCAGCACAGAATTACCTAATTTTTCAATGCCTAACTCCCACAGATGTATTTCTGAAAGAATCAGGCCATAAGTGACTTGCACAAGATGGAAGCTGGGAACAAAAACCATATTTAACTCAGTCCTGCACTTTAACCACTTAAGTTTTAGGAGTCATTTAAAATGTTACGCTTGTCTGTGGAGGGATAATGCCTTTCTATAGACACAGTAAAACAGAACCACGATTCCACTTGGCATGTCTATAAACCAAAAATCCATAGAACCAATCTGGAAATTAGTTAGTTAAAAACTGTTGACAATAACTTCAGAAGAATGTTTTATGATTTTAATTCCATGTTTAAAACCCTTAATTACATAATAAGCTTTAACTACTATGTAGATGACTCGACTCCCATATCAAGCAGCAGTCTCTGGGGTCACTCCATTATTCTTACAAGCACAGGAAGTGACACTGGCTGTTATGTAAGCCAAAATGCAAAGAAAAACTTAAGTGTGCGTAGGAAAGCAGCTGCAAGAACTGTGGAATGCACACACAAAATAAATTAGCCGGTGTAAACTAAAGGGGAGAGAGAAAAGAGAAAGATGAATATCTACCTTCCATCAAAAAAGAAGAACTTGCCGCGGCCATTCTTTTCGCCATGTATGAAGTTTCCCTCAAACCTGTCTGTGGACGAATAGGTGACTGTACAGAACCCATGCGGCAAGCCATCATCATCCAGGACCCCTTAAATAAAGCCCAAACAAACAGGAAAGTAGTGCATAATATCAGAACAAGTCCACAAACACTTACCACATATGCCTTATACATTCTGCTAAAGCTATTATTGTAAGAAAAATGCTAGTCAAAGCATTTTATTAAGAAAAATAGACTGGAGATATTTAGGAGACTCTGTAACTAGTGACTCCACAGTCACTCTCCATTACAATTTGGGGAGGAGAACAGCAACAAGATAGATAAAAGCAGCTAACGAGAGAGATTTTTAGGAAAAATAGGGTTGATGCACTTAACAACAACAAATTTAAAAAAGGGTCCTCAAGTAGATTGCTTGCATGATGTTAGAATGGGTTCTTATTTTAATCCCTTAAGAAATAGAAAATTTAAACAAACAAACAAAACAGGTGGATAATATCCCCTAACAGCCTAAAGACTCATCCTACTAACCAGGGTGAAAACTCCTGGTTACACTTCAAAACTGATCCCTACAATTTAAAAAGCCATGCAATGTTTATGCGGTACTATACTTCTGTAACTCATCAACATTCCTTCTAGCGGTAACCTACCATCCTACCCATTTTATCCCTTACCTCCCTTTGAAACTTCACACCAATTTTTCCTCTTATTGTAATAACTGGAATCTGTTATAATAGTCTTGTTTTAGCTTATTGTATTCTCTCTCTTTCCTTCACCCTTTGAAAAGCAATCCTTTCCTGACCCTGTGAGTTCTCCCTTGCTTTCCTAGCATTTCCATCAATTTCTTCCTCCTTTCAGGACATTTTGGATGCCTATATATGAGCGCTGAAACTACTCCAATGGTTGGAATTAATTGAATCTGCTGGAGTGTGGCAACTGCCATGCTCCAGCAGCCTTTTGCATCTTGTACATCAGCATCCCCACTCTTAAAAATGGCAGTGGGGGTGCTTGAACTAAAGCTCGGTTGATAATCGCCATTTTTAAGTGTGAGGACAAGGTGCCAGTTTAATTAGAGCAGCTCTTGGAGCCACTGTAATGAGAGTGCAATGCCGCCCCCCCCCACACACACACCTCAAGCATGTGTAAAAGTGCCTTTTGGGAAACCCAAGGGCAGCAGAAGAAAGAAACCAGAGATGTAGGTCTGTACATTAAGACAGCTCTGCACTGACGAATATGATCCTCACAGCTGTGCTGTCTTTTAGATCCAACTTAGGTATCTCTTCCATTCCTAGAAAAGGTCTTATAGAAAAAGATACAGAAAGAAACAGCATCAAGGAAAGGGGAAGGAGAATGTAAGCTTCCATGAGTTCTGAGGAAGCAGTATCCCCTGTCTGATGGGTTAGGACTCTATGTCCTCATTTCCCCCCATTCTTTACTCTTTCCTACAGCTGAATTCCCCAATCTGTAGCCTTTCTTCAAAGAAAGACACTAATTTTATATATTTATATTTAATACATACACACACACATAAACACTCT